GGGGGGGGCGGTGTGCGGTCTGTGACAAGGACAAAGTTAGTCTGGAGGTAGGGGACTTCAAAGCAGTGGAAAGGTCTCCGTTCCAGGCTCGTTCCCTGGCCGCCATGGTTTCCACAGGATGTCAAGGGTGGCATTGAGCTCAGAGAATCTCTTATACGGGTCTTCCCATAACTGGCGGTAGGACTCAGTCATAGTTTGTCTGACGCCGGGGTCCTTCTCCTCCTGGCAGGTGCGTTTCATGTCTTGTCAAACTTCATGTGTCTGGGACCCTGATCTCTTCCTCGATAATCTGCTGTGCTTGAGGCAACCCGAATTGGTGGTTTTTCCTTTCGAAGGCACACCTGGCCCTCCATGTGAGCATCAGCACTTGCAGGCGCATATAGGCGAAGAGGTTGGAGGCAAAAGGGGACCAGTGCGCCAGCAGCTGTTGGTTCTTGCCTAGGAGGAGTAGACCCAGGTCCCATGGTATGTGGTGACCTGTGAGGGAGTGGAAGGCTGTGTCCCACCACTGCCATATTTGGGTAGCCATCGGGCATGCCAGCAGGCTGTGTTCCAATGTTGCCCTGGCCGGCGGAGTTGCCCTGCCACAGTAGGAACAGATGGGGGACAACAACCCTTTCTGTTCCAGATGTGTTTGTGACACCAGCCAGTCTGGGGTGGGGAGACATCGATGCAAAATCTGCCATTGCAGGGATCTGAGGTTGGTTGGCATAATCTTGGAATATTTAGACCGGGGAAGATTATGCAGCACTTGTGCATCAATCGGCGAGTCCCGACCCCATCTAGAGACAATGTGGAGTCAATGGGCAAGACCATGCGCGAGGCTCAATAGCCTCCTCTGACTATGTAATCTCATGGGTTTGTGGCCCGGCCATTCCCATTCATCCGGATCAAATGGCAGCCTTGCCACCGGCATGGTCAGCTCATACTCGCAGTAGCCTTGTTCCGTGCCCCCCACGACTCTCACATGCATCAACCCGACCCAGTTCTCGCTGGCATCTAGGTGGTCATCCCTGACGAGTTTGGCAATCTAGCCCCCAGCAGGTGCGGCACGTAGGCTTGCAATCTGCACCGGCCATCCACATTGTCGTGCACTCTGTATATGACAGGCGGTCGGGGCAGGTAGTATGCAAACCTGATCACCTAGTCGTTCTGCATGATTGTGGGGCCCGTTCTCAGGGTGAGGCACCAGGCCAGGGGTAGGGCTTCTCTGAGCTAGAGGGCCTTTCAAGTTGGAATCTACGGACCTGATGTGCTTCAGCTTGCATTGCAGTTGATCCGTCGAGGCCCAAGCTGCCCTTATTGGATCTCACAGATCCCCCACCATGTAGACCCCCTTATTTACCCAAGTGAGCCAGGACGAGTTGGCCGTCAAGGCGAAGGGGTTGCCATCCTTGTCGAGGATGTAAGGGTTGCCGAATAGAGGTTGCCTCCAAGTATCGTGCCATCTGTTTTGGGGCCGCCTCTGTTTCGGACCCCTTTTCCTCCGTAGTTTGAGCATATTGGGGCAGAGGGGGTCGAGAGGGATGTCTAGCCCGGTGGCCTGCACCAGGTGTCCGCCTGTCTGTGTCGTGGAGGAGCAGGAATCGACCAGCAACTATTTGTGAGTCATTGGAAAGGGTGCATGCGATTATCCGCTATAGGCTGCGGGGCGAGGTCAGCGATCTACAGGGAGGCAAGAGGGTCCCACGAGATGTCATTGCCCACCAGCAGCCTCACGAGGACTTTAAAGATCAAGGTTTCGCTCTCTCTCTCTGGATCTAGTATCCCAGCCCCCCGGTCGCCCTTCGCTGGGTGAGGATGTCCCAACTCACTCTACTTATGCCGCCCGAGTGTTTTGTGGTGTTTTTCCAGAGGTACGTTGTGAGTGTCTTCTTCAACCTGGTGTACTGTTGTGGCTTTAGTGGCCATACCGTAAGTTTGTACCAAATGGCCGCCAAAACGGAGTCGTTTATTGCCAAAGCTCGCCCCACCAGCGAGGTATGCAAGCCATCCCATTTGGCCAGCCGGCCCACCGCCAAGTCGACTAGCGAGTCACCATGGTCCGGAGGGGGCCCTAGGGCCGTTCTCACCCCTATAATTTTGAAGGCATCCTCTTTATTGGCCCATGCAACATGCGGGTCGGGTAGGGGGAGCTGATCTTGGGGGTGAAGCCACCATCCCTCCATTTTGGATCCCCAGTTAACTTTCATATCTGCGGCCACGGAAAACAAGTGGATGACATAAGTCACCGCCCGCGAGCTAGACGCAGCTGCTCGTATGAGCACCATGAGGTCATCTGTGAACAGTGATGTAACCGGTATGAGGTGTTTCGGGAGGTCTGGAATCGATATTTTGCTGATGTGGGGGTGTGCTATAATCAGAGATGCAAGAGCCTCCATGACAATAACAAAGACCAGGGGTGCTATGGGATCGCCTTGACGCACCGATCTTTGCAATTGGATGGGCGGAGACAGGTGTCCGTTGAGCATAATGTTCGTGAACGCGGTTCTAGGGAGGAGCTAGACCCAACGACAGAAGGTCGGGCCAAAGTTCATTTTGATCAGGCACATATTTAGAGAGTCTCAGTCAACGTGGTCATATGCTTTTTCATAGTCAGTAAACAAGATCACTGTTTGGACCTTATGCTGGCGAGCGTACTTGATGGTCTCGTTGACTAGGAGAATATTGTCTTGAATATTGTGGTTGGACATGAAACCCGTTTGGTCCAGGTGAATTAGCATGTCCATGAATGGCAGCAAACGATTGGTCAAGGCCTTAGGCCCTTAGCCAACATTTTTTTTTTTTTTTTTTTTTTTTTTTANCCTCTCTGACAATGCTAGTAGAACTCTCGAAATATTTCGAGAGTCTAGAGTAGTGCGGTGAGGCCCCTTCTGTTGAGTCGGACGACGCCCAGGGTCTCGAGAGTTCATCTAGTGTCACAGGTTCTAGAGCTGTCTCTTATACACATCTAGATGTGTATAAGAGACAGATGTTAGCGGTGCTAGTAAGAGCAAACACTGCTAGCACCTAAGGAGAGGCTCCATCTATTGGTGGGGGGCTACATCTGCTGGAAAACAGGTCAGCGTCCCTTATACATATTTGAAATCAGGTCAAGAGTCTCCTACCAGCAGTGATTTCTCTAGAATCCAGAGGATTGACTGAGCAGATTTTTAACAAAGAAAAGGAGAAAGAACCTCTTCACCCCGTGTCGGGTGCCAAATATTTGCTAATACAATCTAGTTTCTCCCTTCTCCCTCTTGATTGTGGATATTGCGAAAGAACTCTAGAAATCTTAGCTTCCCCTTCTCTCAATGTTTTTTTAATTTATCCCCTCCCCTGCCTAACCATTGCAAACTTACTAAGGCTAGTTCTGAGGGAGAAAAAAAGTCAGTAAAAAATTCTAGCAATCTGAGAGTTGTCCCTAGTTGAAGTGAGAACCAGTTCCTGACGTTCAGTTGGAAGTCCTTTTTCAAGGGTTCTTCCTCTCTTGTCTCCCTTGACCATATCACTTCCCCCAGGCGTCCCACATCAGATCCCCCCAGCCAGTCAGAATTGAATTTTTGAATTGCTTTTTAAATGTCATTTTTTTTCTTCTGAAAACTGCATAATTTAACTTTAATATATAACCATTGAGCTCTAATTTCTGTTTGAATAACTTGAACCACAAGTTTTGCAATTTCCTCCCCCTCTAATTTGACATATTCCTTTTCATGGATACACCTCTTATACTACAAGGTCCATAGAATTGTTTTACGTCCGATGTCAAAAAGATTGGATTGATAATTAGATAGAGAGATTCCTCGAGGTTATCATTGGTTGAAAAGGATTATTTTCCAGTTTCATGGTCAATCCAACCTTGTCCCACACCCAATCCCATCTTCTCCAGAGAAGTACCGAACCTGGACATTGCAAAAAAATGTGTTCAATTGTTTCTCTAATTTTTCTATTCGGAAATACAGACAAGCAAGATTTGCAACATGGCAAGGCTAATCCCCTTTGTTCAAGTGTAGAATGATCTATGAGTCTGTGATTTGTAGGTAAACAACAATGAATAATTTTTCTAGTTGACATCAACAGCAACAACCAAAGTACATACAAATATCGCTCATGTGACTCTCGATGACGACCAGATAGGTGCTCTCACATCTTCCCCTTCGCAATTCTAACGCCTCTAACCCGTCAGTCTACCTCCCTCTTTTCTCCTCCCCGGATCTCACCATTTTTTTTACTGCACCCCTTCTCTGAACTATACCTGCATCCAACCTTTTATGAATATGGTCAGTATCTCGGCTAGATGCGTCCTAGCTTAGACCATTGCGAGTTGTCCAATCGAAAAAAAAGAGCATCACTTCGTTCACAATGACCTTAACGAGCACCACGATAAGGGTAGCTACCGGAACGAGGAATGATCCCACAGGAGAAAAAACGACCAACCTTGAGGCCTCAATCAACAGTCACGGCGAGTTCCTCCATGCCACACGATGACGTCCTCGAAGGCGACCACTATGGGCAGCATACGGATTCCGATGACGACCTTAACTTAGTGGAGGCGACAATCACGGACGAGCAGTGTACCCACTGCCAGCAGGACCTTGAAAAAAAACATGATCAGTAAGGCCTCGCCCCATTGATCACCAAATGTGGGAAATGATAATATATCTTCCCCTTAAACCAGGGAAGATGCAAACATTGTCGTTGGCAGCCCTGCATGGATGTAACTAAATAGAACAACGAATTTCCACTTAGGACATAGGAAGGTACATTCTGATGATAAGCACCATGAACTTGGTGAAGCCCATGACGAACACAAGGACGACGGCCAAGGTAAACGCAACCGCAACGATCACCATGAAGAGCAAGTGAGTCTGCCTCTCTCTCTCTTTCAACTCCTTTCCGCCTCTCCTATCACCGCTATCTCCCTTCTCACCCACTTTGCCCGCCATCACCCGTTGTCTATGCTCGTGGCCATGCGTACAATCAAAAGTGAATGTATATGACTGACAACCACGTCAAGATACATCAAATTGTCACGCTCCACTACTCGCCAAATATGCAAAATAAGAATGAATATTCCGCTAGAAAGTGAGAAGACGCATCCCGTTGGGTTCGGCAAACACCATGGCAGGTACAGGGAACACACAACATCATCGCGACATTATCGGGGGGGAATATACCACGACGAGCACTTTGATCAAATCCACCATTACGATGATGCAACGCTGTGGTTGTCGCCGCGAGAAGCACCTTTATGATCTGGACTTTGCAAGCAGAGGATGGCGAGCTCGAATGGCGAGCGGTCACTAGGTAAGCAAATGCAACCACGATAATGTAGGTGCTCAAGTCTTCGTTTGTCGATCCTCCCTCTGCCTTTTGCCTTCTCTTTGTCGTTTTCGCCTCTTCGTCCTCATACTTCTTAATTTTTCACGCGTCGGTCAAAGCCTAATCGAACGAGAGAAACAACCCGCCTAACATCGAGCAGTAACACTTTATAGTCGCGCCCACTTCATCTGTACTGCATGGGCAATACTCCAAAATGGTCCACACTACTAGAATGAAACATGCCTACGCCTCACTACTCGATTGTTCCTTGACTCGTTTGCACGAGCCCACCCTCGTTTGGGCAATGAGGTTCATTCCCTTTTAGCAACAAGCAAGTCAGAACAACAATCTCTCACTGATGTGCTCTACTACGAGCCCCGTCTTGCCTTGGTTTCGAGCACAACGGGATTCCTCCTGTTAGATTTGATCATCTCATGGTTACACTGCAGCCACGTTAGCAGGGCTATGCTGATCTTCCCTATATCCTTCCAAATTTAATGGATGTCAAAGTCTGGGCAACGACCCCAAGATATTATCATCAGACTAATCGGCCCCAAATCATTCAGAATTGCAATATTTTACTCATCTGCTTCCAGTGGAGTTTGAGCTCAGGACTATATTTCAACAGTTCAAGGGTGCACCGACTGAGCTAGGCCAGTCGGTCTATTGTCGGTCCCCGAAGCGGTATTGGGACCGATCCCAAAAATGTGACTTTAAAATAAAAATACCTGATGTCGATGCAATCTGTT